TGAATCCATTTAAACGCATTTTATGATACAACACGATTTAATGGAACAATTGCGTGTATCTTTGCAATATTGAGGATGTATATGGTAATACATCATTGGATGAGTGGCTACATATTTGAAGACTACTATCTTGTAAGAAATAAATCATTTGGATTATAAACGCAAGGGTATAAGAACGTGTTAAATAATGAATATAAAGATTTGAAACGACACGTGACATTTGGTTCTCTTTAACAAGGGTTTATTCATAAAAAAGGAACAGAATAGAGAAGATCAAAGAAGATGTGCTGCATGGAAAATGAAAATATTATTATTCCCAACATTAACAATCGCGATTGTCATCTTGCCTTCTACAAAAATATAAAAACACAGATTATTTGCCGTTCTTGGGTCGTTTGTCAATCCTTAAATGGGTAGACAATCAATTTATTACTTTACTCTACATGTGATGTCTGAATCTTATGTATGTGGAATTAATGACTTACATCGCATAAATTCCTATTTTTTGTGCTCTTTCACTCTCTATTCATTGCCACGTGTCATACCATAACAGCAGCCAATCAACATTTCACATATTAAAGACTTCTTTCCTCTTTTCAATTCCTTTGTGCTTGTTACAATGTGAATGAAATAAGAAAAGGAAAAAAAACTGCATGCTGACTAAGAATTTTCGCTAAAGATGAATTGAAATACAAGAAATGAGAAAAGAAAGGAAGGCAATTGAGGTGAGTGAGTGAGATGGGAAGCTGAAAACCAGTTTACAATCAATGACTCTGAAATCACTTAATTTTCTCTTGCTCATTCCACTCATTCATTTAAGTTGTATCAGCATCAGCAAGAGCAACAGCAGCCAGCTTTAAGGTTCTTGTGTGACCGGAAAAAAATTATACTGTTGTTATCCACGCTGTACGTATGATATCGAGGTGAACGTGCCCCGGTACAAGACTGAAAATGTCATGCTTTCGAAATTAAAGGAAAAATAATCATTTATGATAATTGAAACATGTCGCTTTATAATTATTAATTAGGGCTCTTTATTGGACAGCAGAGAATTTAATTTTTTCATTTCTTTTGCTTGTTTTCGCATTTTTTAATTTTTCAAAATATAAAGCTTATTAAAAATTATTAAAGGGGACAAAAATATACAATTAAAACATTAAAGATACTTCTTATTAAATTTTATACATTTTTTATGCACCGATTAAATTTTTTTGTGGCTTTCTATTAAGCCTTAAAATTTTTTATTTCAGAGTTGATGCTGTAGATGCATGTGAGTCATTATTTAAGCTGCTACTTAAGAGAAATAAGTTGAAAAGAAGCTACACATTATTGCCAACTGAACAGTGGAATCAGAAATAGTCTGATTAGTTTAAAAGCGACCAAGCGAGCAGTTTGCCAATTATCAAGTGATTCTAGTGTGGACAGCATTTTAACGTGTACCCATTAAGGTAGCAGCGAAAATACTAAGTAGAGCCATATTCGATAGAATCAAGCTCCTATACTCACTTTTTTTGCAACTCCTTACGGTCTATCATTCAGATAATGAAAATTTGTCCCAAAAAACCAGCACATACCAATGAAATCTGTCCCCAAATTCCAGTTGTCATGTAATCAAAAACTGAAAATCAGAAAAATGATCATAAACTGCTTTAGACATCCTATTGTGAACAAACAGAGCTTTTTATAATTTATCAAATTTCTCCAACTGTCAACTCTGAGTCATGTACAAACGACACAAAACTGTCTCTTATTGTAGGACCCAGTAGAAGCTTTGTATCGTTCATGGGATTGTAGTTTGTAATTAAATAAATTAAAACCTTTCTGTTCAAATATTGTTTTTATGATACATGCATCAGACAATGATTGTATAAGCAATTTCCATTATTTATGTAATTGAACATGTTTCTCTAATTCACAAAGTGAAATTCTTCAAGGAATTGATGCTCAGTGTTAAAACTTCAAACAATGTTTTTCATCAAAATTACATCAATTTTAAATTAATATTTTTTAACAATTGTTGATGCTGTACATGTTCTATACACAATTGTTTGTTTTTATTGAACATCATAATACTGTACAGCTACATAAAAATTTATTCTTTTTAAAAATAACTCAGAATTACTAATTTTAGTTCATTAGTATGGATATAAAACAATAAAATCATTAGTAGAGTAGAGTAGCTTTAAAATATAACAGTAGCTTATGAATCGCGTATGTTATTTAATTTATGGAATTTTTATGCTGTTGGATATATTTTTATTAATAAAATCATTCCTGTATTTTACATTTTTATTGAGGAATGAGCTATTTTTGGAGTCTATATTGCTAATTTATGTGCTGTATGTGTTTTAATAGTTGTCTGTAGAATTCTGTGAAAAGGCAACATAAGTCGGTCGACAAAGATGCTTAAACAAGTCTGGATCATATCTATTTTTGCAAATATCGAATCATAGATGTTGTTATAACGTGAGCATTATGCAAATCCTTGTTATATTGACAAAACTATTTAAAATGATTGAGAGATTAGTGTCTTGTGGAAATCGAACCCACGTCCTCACAAAAGAGTGTTACAGATATCTAGTCTGTTGCATAATCACTCGTGCCACAGAGGGCTAACTTGCGGACTGGCAGATTCGCCTATACATGGCTCGATTTCTATATTGGGCTTTTCTAGAATTTTTTTCAAATTCCAAAATATTACAGATATACTAAGACAACTTCACTAATCGAAATTCGGTCTTAATTTGATCATCACTAAGCTCAAATAGCAAGTAGAATTTTTATACCGGACCAAAATTTCAATCCCGGGATTACGGTCTGGGTTTAAAATCTACATTAAAACATTGTGGATCAGAACTGTTCGTATGTCTGTCACAATCAGATTCCTTCGTCTACAAATTCTTGCAGAAAATATTTTTTTTTTCAGCAGATTCACACGAGAAAAGTTTACTTTAGAAAGGACCTTGAAAAAATAAAACCAAGTATCCAGCTGATAAGCTCAAAAGAAGTAATAATTTATTTTAATATTTTTGAACACATTAAGTCTCCTTCTTCATTCATTACTTGCTAAAAGAGCTTCTTCCAATAAAATAGAAAGTTTCAAGTCATTATTGTTATTATTAAGAAGTGACAGAGAATCTCACAGCACTTCCTTTCGTCGAGATATTTTCAATGAACTTTTAGCGCAAAAGAGGCAATAAATTAAACAAAATAAATATAAACAATCGTATGGATGTTCTGGAGATAAAAGAGATTTCGCACATTTTTAATTTAACACACGCAATCTACTTAGCTTTCGGAAGGAATATATTCGCACAAATACCAGATGTAAACATATTCAAATGCTAAGTTTATTTTTGTTTATTTAAATTAATGAACACTGACAAAATGACAAGTTTGCTTCTGAATAGAAAAATTACTTTAAAAATTCACTCACATAAATTCATTAAGCATCAACCGCCCGCCTTTAAAAACTTCATCATGAAATATTGTATCACCATAAAAATAAAGATTATATTTCAGCGCTAAATTCTTTAATGGACACTGTTTACATTTTTTATGCAGGAAGAGAGAGAAAAAATAATTTTTTATATGCCATTAGGGGCCATTCACTTATTACGTAACGCTTTTAGGGGGAGGGGGGGGTCTAAGATTTTGTTACGGTTCAAACAAGAAAATTTTTTTTTCATACAAATTTTGTTACGAGGGGGGGGGGGGTCTAAGAAGTCATTTTTTCGCGTTACGTAATAAGTGAACAGCCCCTTAACAGTTATGTGGAATCAAAATGCCACAAAATCAGCAATGCCTCAACTTCATTTTGGCCAATCGTTCATTCGTCTTTAATCAAAAGTTAATTAAGAACGATATGAGAGAGACTTTGGATAAAAATCATGATTTATAATTAAAAAAATTCATCTCATCGCATTTTCTTTAATGTTTATGAGCTACTTTTTCGCTTTGTCTGAAAATAAATTTTAAGCGTGTCTAAAATCTAGTCTTACTGTAGTAAAACTGTGACAATGTCTTCTCTCTTAGGAGGTTAATCCTCTTCTAAAACAAGATGAAACTAATACATGCTGTAATACATGGGATGATTATTAATATTATTTTGAATATTTAGCTACGCTCAAGCTATGGTTGGAAGAATTATTTGGAAGATTTCTCATATTTACCTTCCATACTGGGCGATTTAATTTGGACACAGCTATAAATCTGTTTTAATGATATTCTTATATAACATTAGAAAATGTCAAAAAAAAAAACCTTTACCTATTCAGATCAATTGTGATCCAGAGGTGCGCTAGGGCGTTTCGTAGCTAATGAGAGTTTAACGAGTGAGGATGCGCCAAACCACTGCACTCAAACCTAGACCTACAATTTATAGTGGGATCTGAACCACTACTTTGCTGACATTTCTGCCTGTAGCCTACAAAGGAAGGCTGTGAGCCTCATTTCCAGTACATATGATTCGAAAAAGAACAATTGAAAAATTTCTCATAGAAAATGTCAAGGAAATGTTAATTGAAATGCGATATTCCAATGACTCTAGGCACTGAAATTTTCAATAATTTTTAATCAATATGTATAAAGAAGAGATCTAGAGGAAGACTAAAGAATACCTGGATTAGATGTGTTGATAAGGATGCTAGAGTAGGTCTCAAAGGATAGCGCTGTCTTTAGACGATCTCTGAATGCAGCAAAGGGTCCACGTGCACCCCAGCCAAGGAAGTAAAGTAAGTACGCATGTATAAAGAAAGCTAATTTAACGGAATGAAGCAGAAAATAAGAATTTTACACCCAACACACAAATCTTTAAAGTCAAATATGGAAAATGCGCCACAACCTCCCAATTCATCATCAAGACATATTCATTTGATTTTTAATATATTTTTTTTTCTCTTAAATACTTCCTTTATTTCTTTTTATTTCCATTAAAATTTTTGTTAAATTAAACTTTACTTTTAGAGAGGTAAAGAATCTCTTGTTTATTCCATTAATTTTTCTTTTTATAAATTAAAAAAAAATTTGTTCTGTTTTTCTTTTCATTTCATTTTTGGCATCATCAATTCGAATGTAAAGGGTAAAATTTGTGTGAATCCTCATCAAAAAAAAAAAATAAAAAATATATTAAAGGAGCGGGATAGAGAGAGAAAATGACTCGATTAAGTAATTCAGTAAAGAACTTTTTTTTTACATCTCATTTGTTAAGTAAATCTACAAAAAAATATTAATAAAAGTTTATGATGAACTTGATGATCCTATTTTAAAACCCTTTTTACGCGCATCTGCACGCTGTTGCTTCATAAGTAAGAATGCCTGTCGCTCCTCAGGCGATAATTTGGCCAATTTCTCTTTTAGTCTCTCACGACGCTGTGCTTTCTCTTCGAGTTTCTTTCTAAGCTCTGACATTGTTGTTCTCTCGATAATTGCAGGTCCAACAGTAGATGACGATACTGTTGTAGATGTTGTTGTTGTTGATGCTGTTGTTCTTTCAACAGGCTCTGGTGGGCTTGTCAAAAATTCAAGTACAGGCTTTAATTCAATTATAGGCTTCGATTCTTCTTCATCATTGTCTGTCTTCACTTCTGTTTCGGGAAGTGCATTGTTTGGATGATGATGATGATTGTGATGGTGATGCTTATGATGTTGATGTTGTCGTCCACTGTCATCGTTCTTATTGTTCTCATCAATTAAACTTTGTTGCGGCGGGACAATTTCATCGACTTGATTCTTCTTTTCAATTTTCTTTCCCTTTGTTCGCTTCTTCTTTTTCAGTCCTAAATCAACATCACCTGACAATTTCAATGAGTGACGTTTACGCTGCTTCAATGATTCTTGATCCAATTCTTTCCCAACATTTGTGGCTGAATTGATTGGGTGAATGTCTTCTTGTGGCTTTTGTTCAAACGTTTCAAGTTTACTGTAGACGTTGTATGGCAAATAATCAGGTGCGAGTGTTGATGATGTCGTCTCGGCTTTTTGTACCTCATTGTTCACTTGACTTAATCGATTTATTCCCGAGCGATTTCTTTTGCGGTAAAATTGACTGTAAATGGAGAGAAAAATGAGAAATGATTTATATTAATCGATGGATGGATGTGAAAAGGTAATTTTGTCTTGGGGGTGATGCTGAATATATAAAGAGGTGACTGATTAGATGGTTACCACCCTTGAGCACTATAGCTCCTGATTTTGCCAACGTCATTGCTTTAAAGATTTACGTAAAAAATTAAAGCTGGATGTTTGGGGTCTTTCGCTTATTACGTACATCAGAAAAATGATTTTTTTAAAGTCCTTGTCACAAAGATTTGAAGATTTTTGCTGGAACTCATAAATGAAGGAATCAAATTAAAATTCAGTTCCTTCATGCGAATTAAAAAATGCTTCAGAATCTTTCCGACTCAATTCAAAAAAACTTGAAAAAAAAATTCTTGAAGCCTTCACTCAATGCTCGCTTTAAGGAACATCAAGCATATCCAACAATATTGCCATTTAAATTTTATGATGCTCCATATCCCGTTAATGAAAAAATATGTGAGAAACTAAATTTTTCAAACCATGTTGAAAGCTAGACAGTTGATTGATGAATTACTTTTACAGCTTGATATCAAAATAGCAACCATGACTCAATCATCCAGTAACTTTCCATCTAACATGAATTGAATACGAAAAAATTTCAATTGTTTTGGCAAAAATGCAATAAATGACACCGTAACATAGCTATAAAAATTGAGATGAGAAAGACTTCAAAGCGATTTTTAATACCTAACGGTTCATTGACAAAAAAAGAATGTATAGCAACGAGTATAAAAATGACGACATCAGAGGGTCGTTGAAAAATAATTTAATTCTTGGTGTAGGTCAGCATTTTCGCTATTCACAATATGTATTACTCACGATGAGCGAATGGGGGATATAAATATATAGTATTTTTGAGAATTTCTCGTTTATTTTCAGCATCGCTGTGTGTGGTCGTTGCTAAGTTATGTAACGCTTTTAAGCTTTATATTAAAAAGTCAAAGTTTTGCTTTTGCTAAATCTTATCCAAAATATGACCCCATTCTGTCCCTTATCTTTACATAACATCCAGTCGACCCTGCTCCCAAAAAAAATCATCAAGTCAACCTTACCTGCGATTGTTGTTATTGCCATTGGTAGACACGTATACTTCTACTTCATTAGCCATTTGATTAGGGTAAGTTTCATTCCATTTTGTGTAAACACGCTGGCGTTGCTTCTCGTTAACTAAACTCATACGATGTTGACAGATAAAGTAGTGAAGCTCTGTGCATTTTCTCGCTGTCCATCTAATTTAGAATTAATGGAAAAATTATGTATTTGAATTGGATATGACATAATTATGAAAATTAAAATATATCTCACTTATATTCCGAATGTGGATCCATGACTGTGCAATGATATTCAAGATTTGATCTATATATGTGTGTGAATAAAAAATGTGGATATGCTGTATTGACATGGAATATAAATAGAAGATTATGAATCTCTTACCCTTCAACGCCATCATCAAATGCTTGATATTTCATTTCACCACCATTGTATCCCCATTTCCACTTATTTTGTTGATGATTATACATGCCACCTATCCACTTCTCACCGAGCATTTCATCTCTATTTTGCAAATATTTCCTCAAACGTCTGTCGGCAAATTTCATCGGCTCTGCTAATTTGCTGTTTCGATCTTTGCACTCAAAATGTGCATCCAGCCAATTGTACTTCTTTTTCGACATGTAGAAACAATCATTGCCAATTTTTTGAAAATCTGGAGGACACAATGCATACATTCGCTTAGCTCTCGTTAGCTGTGGATTATTTCGATGACTTGGTTGATTGTGTGGTTGAAGTTCTGCGGGTATATCGTCTGATTCTTGTGTGTTTACTCCGCAATTAAAAACTACAAAAAGTAGTGAGAGTATCACTACGATTTGATTGTTGTGGTTTCTCATCATTCTATTCCTTTTTTTATCTCTCTAGTCCGAATGTGTTTTGTTGGTTCAGCTATTGTTTCGATTTTATATTGTATTGTGTTTCACAAAGACTAGAAAGTTTCTGTTTGGGGATGAAAAAAAAATTATAGAGATAAAATTAATGTTCAAGGAAATGAGTTGTGTATTGTATTGTGATTTTCAGATTTTTTGACGCTTTTAGTGCTTATAAAAGTGGAATTTTTTGAGGCATTAGGCAAGTAGCATGCAAAATTCTTTAGAATTTTATTCTTTTGTATCAGTTGCTTTATAATGAGCTATTCACAAGACCTTCTCCTTCCAACTTGACTAAACATTTAAATCTATACATGAACGACCCCAAAAAAGACTTCAATAAGATTCACAAGTGTGACAAAATTTTCATAAAACATCCAAAGATTTCTTTTTGGGATCAAAATCCTCCGTACCCAAAACTTTTCGAATATCAATTCGATTAAATTATCCATACACATTGGAACTAAATTTAGCATTAATTTGTAAACTATCCCTTAATCGGTTTTAGATAGTTTCAGCATCCTTAAATAACTTAATGTTTCAACAGTATCAAGTTGAGAGGTAAATCAAGACGACAGACAAAATCCAACCATAAATCCATTCACTCCTATAAAATGCACTCGAAAGGTTATTCAGCTGGAAGAGGGTTCAAGAAAAAAAAGAGATTTTATGTTCATTGTCTTTCCTGTATATCCTATGAAATTCGATAAGAACTTAAAACTGCAAAAAAAAGGAAAGAAGATTCGTCCTTTTTTTGTGAATCTTTATGTCCTTCTTTTTAGATCTCACTCTTTCATTTGTTTTACTAATGAGAAATAAAGTGTCTTTTAATATGATACGAAGCTTCCATTACGGATTTTCGGTGTATACATAATAAAAAAAATTACTAAAAATAAAACTATTTCTCTGTTATCATGGAGGGAATGTTTACATAAGACTTGAAAGCAGAGTTGTTGGATCTGTATTGCGGGTTTTTATAGATTGAACGGCAGAGTGGGTATTTTCTGCAATGGTAATACAGCAATTGTAAGTTCTACATTTCAAGCTATGTAAAATTGAAGATCACAGCCTCATTTCGGGGTCAGACAACCCCCTAAACCTCCTTCAATGTAAAAAATTCATCAACTGGCTAGAACTTTTCTTTAAAAATTACTGGCTACGCCACTGCTACTACAAATTTAGTTAAAAACTAGAATTTGAAGACTATAGTCTACTACAAGGTCAAAAGATTAGCTCAGATCCCACTTAAAGCTACATTTCTAAGTTTGAGTGCTGAAGTCTTGGAAATTACCACTCATCAAACTAGATCAAGCCATGACAACCCTGAACAAAAGCTCAAGTAGAATTTCAGTGTATGTACGTGTAGAACAAGAAAGTTTTTCTTTAAGATTCTTCAAAGCATTATTAAGTAAACTTCTCCTTCCGACTTTCCCTTGAATTATATCATTTGAAGTAAGCAATAAGAAGGAGGGAAATGAGGCATTCCTTTGTAATTTCATTTTTATAAGGCAGATAATTAAAAATACAGAAATGTGAAAAAGAAGAAAAAAAATATTTAAACACCTGCTTGCATGTTTTGTGAACAAGCGAGCAATAAAAGTAAGTAAGTGAGTACAATAGAGGCAGAGGCATGTACACCTTACATTAAAAATATACAAAAGAAACAAACCGCGTGTATTATGGGCAGGCAGTGAATGAAATAAATAGTGGAAGAATAAGAAGATGAGAAAATACGCTAAGATTGTTTGTGGCGCTTATAAAGTTAATCAAAAATTTAAATTTTTGCCTCTGAACTGAAATCATTTATTCTTCTTTATCGCGCGAGTCATTTAATCTGTTTTTTTTATTCTTCTTTGTTGTATAATGACTATTTCGTATGTTTACGTCGTCAGGGGAGCTAGTGGAATATTCAATTTATAGTTTAGGCTAGGTTTCTTATGATAAAGTCTAGGGATAGTAATGTCAAAATTGTAGCCTTTATTGTTCACTCATTGCTTTAATTCCTTCTTATGAACCTTAGTTTTACAAAAGTTATAAAGCTCCAAAGCTTTAAGTATTGACTACGCCCCTGAATCTTGTGCATATAAATTGGTCTATAAAAATAATCTCAACGTGTGCTTTTATTGTTGCCATAGTTTGTGCCCAAATATAATTTATTTTGATTTATTTGACTTCTTTGAAATTTGATACTTCAATTGCTTCATTATATTCCATCTTTATTTACAATTTTGGCAGGAGATTTTATCGTTCAGACTTCCTTAGACAAAATATAAAATTTTATGCGGGCGCCTTTAAATGTTGATTGAATTTGCAATGCCTTCCCATTTTCTGTGGACACAAAAATTTCTGTGTCGTACAATAAATTCTCGCCTTAAAGACATTTTGTAAGATTTTTTATGGAATGATTACTTGCAATTTCCATTAATTGTTATTGAGACACAAAAATAAAAAAAATTAATTGAAAGAAATCAGCATTTTTGTTGAGATAAATTAAGTGATTTGACAGAGATTTAAGCTAAAGAAATATTTTAATCTCGAAACTGGATTAATAAAGAATATTGAGTCATCAAAAAGCGATAAGACAACTTTTTATATTAATTTTGTATTATGTTGAAGCTATTAAGGCTAGGCATACTTAATCAGAACTTGCTTAATATAAAGATAATTTTATTGTTTATGAATTAAGTGTTTTATCATCAAAAGCTATTGAATCACAAAGTTCCAATCCCTGTCTTCAAGTTGTTCTCATCGTCCCATTTCATTATAGTTTCAAACGTATCGATATTCAATTTTTCTCTCTTCTCTTTCGCTGGAGAATGTTTAAAAGAAAAGGAGTAAGTGTCATAAATAAGTCTTAATGGGTTCCGCTGTATTGTGTAGGTTCTGTTAAAGACACTATAAACTTATTGATGCTATGATATGATCATCAAATTGTAATACATTAAGTAGCTTTTTTAGTGAACTACAAACTCTGTTTGACAGGAAGCAAAGCTACAAAATAGTCACGACGTTCTCATTAGAAAGAGGAACAGAAATCTGATCTGTAGTGGAGCCATTCGACCACAGAGGTCTTACTATCTCATTGGCAGTCTTGCAACCTTAGTAAAAAATGTTCAACAAAAAATTTAAGAAATGGAAAGTTTTTCAAACTTATAAGATTTTTAAGGCTCACATTTGGCTCGGCAAACTTATGCGTTTTAAAAAATAGCACCCCAAAGCAGATCTTTCCGACTCAAATTCATTTGATTTCATTTAATGAAAGAAATTTATTTTTAAAAGAATTCTCTTCTTTGCTGCATAAATTAAAATCAGTTTTGGCCGATGACAACAATTTATCAAATTAAGCAGTCTATGTCACATCGTGAGTGGGTATAAAAAATAATGAAATTGTCATTCTTCATAAGTCACAAGAAACTAAAGTTAATAACTCCATTTTTAGTTGATTAAAAAACTTTTTTTCGATTCGTTTGCAATTTTTCATCTTTGATATTTTCATTAATTGCGCGTTTGTGGCTCGTAAGAAGAAGTAAGAATTTCATTTATGGTAATATGAGATCATATAATCATGTTTATTTAAATCAAGTAAGTAAATTAACAATACCGCATGACTAAGTCACTGATTATACTTCTTTCATTCTCCTCGTTTTTTGGCTTACGATTACGAAAATTAAACAATGATGCACGTTTTGTGTGTTTTTCTTGACTTTATTCTTCTTTCCAATTTTAGTACCGGGATAGAAAAAAAAAGAAATATCAACGACAGTGTTGTTATGGAGCTGTTTGCCTGATTCAGCAGTCATGACTACTTCATGTATTAGATTCAGATTAATCTAGCTTGATATAAGCAAGTCTTTTGAACTAGGCTTTTATGTGATTTTAGGACTTAACATTTACTAAACTTAGACACTTAGATCTAAGCCGTAGCCAGAATTTTGCGAATTGGATTTTGCGAAAAAATTCATAGCTAATTGAAGGGTTTTTAATTCCAAGCTTCATTTTTAACCAGACACCCAGACTTCTCCAAGCTTATGATTTCTAATACTAACACCCTAATACTATTGTCTAGAAATTTTGAATCAAAGTATCATCAACTGTTTCTGAGTTACATCATGATCCATCCTAAACAAGCTTTTAACCAGATCTTGTCTCAATGGAATGAGGTGTCCCATAGATGCCCATGATTCGTACCCTAGCCATCAAGTTCACCAACACTGATCACACAGAATAAATTAACTGTTCAGGCGCGACTTAAATTAATCACTTCTGATTCTGATTTTTTTTTTTGTATGTTTTGTTTGAACGGGAATCTCAAGGGAGAGAAAAAATTATCGTCACGAAATTTTTGCACGTCTTAAAATTCTTATTTACACTCTCACATGCTTATCTAATACCCATGCCTCAAAGTCTCAAAAGTATTAATCACATTAATGTATTTTCTTTTATTACTTTTCAATCTCTCTTTATAAGCTACAAAAAGATGAAATGAATTTGATGAAACGAAACTTCAACTAGATGCCAAAATAAAACACAGAACTCGTTAATAATTTTTTTTTTGTTCGTTATTTTTTCGATGTTGAGCGTTGAAAGGAAATTTCGCGACTGACTAAAGGCGCTTAACGTTACCAGAGAAAAGAAAACCTCATTGCAATGTGAGTAAAAAAATTGCAAAAAAAAATTTGGAACAAAACAGAAAATGGAATCAAAACAGTCGTCGTCCGTGAGAATAACCGTAGACTGAGACGTGAGATCATGCAGCATGTATATATATTTATATTGTTTTTTTTTGTGTGTGATAAGAAAGTTTTTATGCTTACTTATTTTTATATTCCGTTCCATATCACAGCAAGTGAAGTAGGAAGGGAAGCAGAAAAGAAAAGAACGAAAAATAATATGCTTGCGGGGAAGAGATTCATACATATTAAGCGAGAAAAGAGTCATTTCATGAATGGAAATTCGTTCCGTACATTTAAAACAAGAACAAAAATTCCCAAACCAAAATCCGGCCAGTAGCAACAGAATGTTTTTATTCTTTAAACAATGCAAATGTACAGGATACAGTATGCAATGCAA